CAGCTGCTCCTTTCCTCTTTTTTCCTATAACCCAGAGGAAACTCGATCGCTTTTCGTGAAAGCAAACCAACGCGAACTTTAGTTCTAATGCTGGCTTCGGGTTTAAGGACGTTCGAAAGCTCTGCTATTCCATAAAGTGGCTGTTGATGTAAGAAACGTCCGAACTTGTAGAGAATTTTTATGTTTATTTCACCCTGACTGATGACAACTGCCAGGAAGCAAAATCTCAGTGGACTGAGGAAATGCTCTGGAGGATGGTGGTTTTGCAGCTTGTTTAATTCACTAGCATCAAAGGAGGAGACGGAAGGAGGGTTCGTGAAATCCGCTGGTGGTAGGTTAGGGAGGTCGGAGAAGGCAAAGCGGGGAGATCGCGAGGGTTGGATAGAAGGCGAGATGGAGAGAGAAAGACGTTGGTTACGATGGAGGGTGCGAGATAATGAATAATTCACACGTACAGCACTTAGAGACGGGAAAAGCGGAACGAGATGACGAGGGATTCTGTGGCCTTGTGCTCTGGCGCCAGCAGGTGTGCCTTCGGGGGGTAGAAAAGGAAAATTACTCTGACCTGTTCTCCTAGATGCATAAGAACGATGAACAGAGCTCATTTAAGGTAAAGATTGACCTTTGCTAAGGTAAAGATTGATGGGCCTGGAATGTGACTACCCGCTGTGACCTGCCCAGTTCGGAATTTGCGATAAGACCATCCCGCATGGTTACTTTTGGGGACCGAGCTCGTCAGGTTTATTGCATAGCCTTTTTTCATTCATATCACACTTAGCCACGTGTAACTGTGGAATGTAGGTGATACAGCTAAGAAATGAAACGTTTTATTTCATTTAATTTTAATTTTAATACTTCATTCAGCTATCGAAGAACACTGAAGTATATCTGTTCACAATTTACGTAAGTGAACCCACTTTTTCCAATGAAAATTCAGCATTTGAATTGTGATGTGTAAAATACACACTGAATTTGGAGGGCCTGGTATGAGAAAAAGAATGTAAGATACTTCATTAATAATTCGTATATTGGTTACATGTTGAAATTTATAACATTCGGGATATATCGAATTAATATAGTATTATAGTTAAGATAGTAAGATATAGTATTGAAATTAATTTCACCTGTCTCTTTTTACCTTTTTTTTTTTTAATGTGTCTGCTGGAAGAGTTTAAAGTGCCTCTGTGACCTCCATCATGTCCCGTTGGGCAGGACTGCTCTGATGCCTTGTTGCTCAGAGCATGGTCCATGGACCAGCAGCATCTGTGTAGGAGCTTGCTGGAATCGCGGGCTCTCAGCCCCACCCACACATCTGGAATCAGCACCTACATGTTAACAAGTTTCCCAGCCAATTCCTACTTAACAAGATTAAGATCCTCTGATCTAGAGAGCTGTGCTTCTCACACTGGAGGCAAATCAGTGTTTCTTTCATTTCCAATCAAGTATGTTTTACAAATATGACAAAAATGAACTATGAGAAAAATGAAAATGAGACATGGACAAATGACAAAATATAAAACCAAAATCTGTATGGAGTCGAAAGACGTAAAGTAAATTAAAAAAAAAAAGTCATTAAACAAACATAGAAATAAAACAATTCCAAAAAGTGGATACATTGTTCTTTAAAAGTGTATATCTAGGCAATTAATACAGAGAATCACTATTACACTTGCAACTTTTTGTCAAACAAAACATTACGTGTGAAATAGCAGTTCTCCATATTAAACACCCGTAGGCATGCTTTCAATGGCATTGTACGTATTAATATTTAAAAGGTTTTCAATGTGATAATTAAGCTTGCTTCTTTCTGGTCAATTTATCTAATCCGGACTGGATGGCTGACTCTCCTCATAAGGGATAATGTATATCTAAACTGTTTCTAAGTTTTGTTTGATAGCACACATAACAGAGAAGCGAGATGCACAGAGGTATGCTGAGTGGACTAGAAGAGCTTTTAAAGCAATCTCAGCAAGCTCAAGACATTCGGTTTTTTAACTGCTATCCAAAACAAAGCAAAGAGCGCTGTATTTTTCAAATTTATCATCAATCCTTTATCAGTAACCAATTCTGATCATTTATTCTGTAACGTTATAATTAAACATAAATTATCTTTCAATGAGAGGAAATAATTATAGATTTTATGCACTTTTGGAAAACAGTTTGCAAACTAACCTTAAAACATCACACACTCTCACGTAGTCCTGCCGCACGACTAATACACAGTTTGGCTCCTACACAGCTCATCATGTGAGTTAGACAAACCCCAGACTGATCTGTGTCCCATTCAACAAAAGAGTCCATGTACTCGAATATTGAGCAATGTCACATTATCCTTAGAGTACTAAGGATTTCTAGATGCTAGTTCTCAATTTCTGTGTTTACTTGTCACAGACTGCTAATAAATAGTTCGTGTCAGGGCAGCCCTGCACCTACAGCTTTGAGTCATACTGCTTTAGGTCTTCCTGTGGAGTATAAGATCAGGATTTAAACAGGCATCTTTCTCAGAAGCCTTTTAGAGTCCAATTTTCTACATTTATTCTAGATAAATGAGACTGTCGGATATGGGCCACAGATTAGCAAGATGAGGTGATCTCACCAGCTGAGAGCAGTAACATGAGTTTAAACCACAAAGATATGTTTATAATCTTACGCGCTGTGATTGATATACTTTCCACATGCAAAAATATATATATATTTTTTTTTGTTTCATAAGAAAAAAAGAGCTATACATTTCCAAGATGGTAAATACTATTAAAATACCAATGACCTTCCCATTGAAATCAGAACAATCCAAAAAACAGGCAATGTATATACTAAAGACACTACTAAACTGCTTATTACTCAACCTGTGGTAGTCGTCTGAGATGGTGATGATATTTGCTAATGATTCCAGTCACCACCGGGGGTTGGAACTGATGAGTGCTTCACGATGCAGACAGCTGTTGAATCTGGAAACCTTCGACTTGCTTCCTCTCCCAAGCATTAAATCCAATTAGTTTCACGGTCCTATGTGTTGTACCTACTGCCACCTACCAAATCCCACCTCTCTGGATTTCAACTGCCCTCACCTCCGCTCAGGCCCTCATCAGCAACTGGGTGGATTTGTGTCTCGAGCTCTTAACTAGCCTCCTTGCTTTCCTTTCCAGATCCTTCTAATTCATCTTTCGTAGAACCAGAATTCTCTTTCCAAAATTTAATCACTTCTACGTCAAAACGTTAGGAAGACTGCCATAACCTTCTTATAAAATTCAAATTCTTTAACTTTAGATACAAAATCCTTCATAATCTGAACCCCCCCACCTCCCCTTCTCCATTATCCTTTCAACAAGGCCCCATGAAATCGAAGCAACTAGGAATTGCCCAGCATCCAGATACGTAGCTCCTGGCTCTGGTCTATTTCCAAATTCCCCTATATTTGTTATGATGCTGTGTGAATCTGGACAGGTGAGTTTATCCTGGGTTTACTTGTTAGCACATAGTAAATGAAACTGTAATTCTGATCATGAAATTCATAGTGGGGTCCAATGGCCATCATCTCTCAAGTAAAGACAGCAAATCCCACTACAAGGGTGACGGGGAGCATATGTCATCGGGATCACCTCAATCTTGGTCAACGTTTGAAACATCTAAAAATGAACATGCATTCGTGTGTGTGCACCTGCACACACACATCCACACTCATGTGCCTGCACTGTTTGTACAGGAATATGTCGAAGAAGGCAGACCCGGCCTTTACAAGTCTGTGGTTTCCAACAGCTGCAAGGAGATGACTTGCTACTCAGAATTTCCATTCCCAGAAGATTATCCAAACTACATGCCAAATTCTCTATTCCTGGAATACCTCAGAATGTATGCAAACCGGTTCGACCTTCTGAAATGCATTCAATTCAAGGTAAGATGCCAAACATCAGTTAGTAGTCAAGAAATATTTTGTTTACCTATTTTTTATGATCTCTCTGTAGCCTAGCTTTGGGCTCCACAGATGAGAAAATAAATTGGCAAGACCGATGACCCTGGGCTGGAGTTCTTTACTCCTTGTACTTAACCCCACCCACCCCAAGTAAATCTTGAGTTGCAAGTGGTTACTTTGTGTAAGGATTCCCATGCATAAAATTTTAATTTCCAATAGTTAAATCCTAAGGGGCCTAAAAAATGCCAAACCATATTTTCAGCTTGGGCCAATTACCTGCACATAGGGACACTGAGAGCTCCCACCGGCCCCTGAGGACTCTGTCCTTTGATAAGAATGGATGTGCGCAATGGCCCATGCACGAGAGAACCTCACTATTTGAGGGACCTCTTTTCTCAACACGAATGGACCTCGAGGGCATTTTGCTAAGTGAAATTAGTCAGACGGAGAAAGACAAATACTACATGATCTGACTTAAATACGGAATCGAAAAGACCAAGCTCACAGAAGGAGGGAATAGCTCAGTGGTAGCCAGGGGCAGCCCAATTCGATCTCTAGGGTTATGTTTATGTTTAGTGTGTGCTCCGGCATGTTTGACTGTCAACTGGCACATCGGCCAGCAAGCCTTTATTGGAACCTTGACAACCATGAATCACGACATCTATGATTCTTTTTTCAGACTAAAGTCTGCAGTGTAACAAAACACCCAGATTTTACCGTCACCGGCCAATGGGAGGTTGTCACCCTGTGTGAAAGGAAGCAAGAGTCTGCCACCTTTGATGCTGTCATGGTCTGCACTGGTTTTCTGACTGACCCACATCTGCCACTGGACTCCTTTCCAGGTACAGAATTTTCTACAACGAACCTTAATGTGTCTCATGGGAGCCATACTGATTGGTGTGAGATTGAATTCCTACGGTTTTTCCATTACACGGTTAAAGTTGTTAGGTTACGGGGCTGTTTTCCTTAACCAGCCACTTCCTGGCCAGTTTTTGGCTTTCATATGTTCCAAACAACCTGTGAGTTCCAAAGAGTAGGGTAAATAACTAACAAGCAGTTTTATGCTTCACTGAGGTTCAATGTCCCTCCTTGAGTGACCGAAGCACTCAGAAAGTCTTTCAAGACACAGGACTCTTAGACAGGTTGGTGTCCTAAGCACATTGACATAGTTGAGTTAGATGCCACAAAGATCCATCAGTGAATAAAGGAAAAGCAACTTGATGTTTTTTAGTTTTTTAATATGAGTCACAGCAATTAACTAGATCAGAGGTGTATGGAGCTGAGTCACTAGTCAAGAGGGAGATAAGTCTTGGGAGGCAAGGTAAGACATCTTTGGGTCTCAGTTTCTCTGTCTTTTGCAATCATGATTCATGTAAATCTATATCGACTATCGATTGGATTACAATTCAGAGGGAAAAGAGAATGCAATGGTTTGGGTTATTTCATCTGTAGTAAAGGATTCAAAAAGTTAAAACTTTAGGAAACGTTTCTCTAGATACGACCTGTGGTGATCCCAAGGCTTATCTTCCAAAAAACTCAAGTACTTCCAATGGTCTTTGGTCTGCTGCCAAAGGTTACTCAAATTGGGTCGCGTTGAGGTAAAGCATATCCTGAAAACTGCCCTAGAACGGAATCGCTGAAGGAAAGCATCGAGTTAGGTCTTCATCCCCATGCAGGAAACCCTTCTCCAATGCCCGAGAGGCTCAGCCACCTCTGCTTGAGCATGTCCAACAATGACCTCTCGCCATCTACAACACAACCCAATCCTTCATCCGCCATCGCCCACGGAGAAAATTCCTGGGCAGCGAGCTACTCCAAACTCCCAGGAAGGAGTGCCTGGTACGGGGTCACTCCAAGAATCCAGAAAGTTCCATGGCATAGAGAGCACATGGCATTTATTTAGCACCTACGGTATATTGCATGAGGCGCTAAGAATATAGAGGAAGATAAGACACCATGTAGCCTGCATGGGAGGGTGGGGTTTTAGAGGAGTCTAGTCGAGGAATCACAGTCTATGTATAACCTGAGTATATGCTTATACTCATTTTACAACAAGCTCATGTACCTCCAGGGGTCCTGGATCGGTCCCAGAGGTTATCACTCAAGTCAGGTCAGATTAAGACAAAGCATATACTGAAAGCGACTGAGCCAATGTACTCGGTTTGAATAGGATGAGCTTGGGACCCAGGAGATATAGATTCTAGGCTATACGATTAATAAGCTAAATAATCTTGGGCCTCCTCCTTAACCTTTCTAAGCCTTTGGTTTTTTACCTATAAGTTGAGGGGCTATTTTTCCTTGCTTGTGAAAAGCTCGACAAAAAACAAATATTAATATATAAGATATTACTGTCCCTTGATTCCTATCAACCTTTAAATGGCAATGACTTTTCTTAATAGGTCTTTATACCATAATATTTCAATTTCGTAGTTAATCATCTAGCCAATAAAACTAGAGGCCTATCTAGTGAAATAGTCACTCACTAATTTCTGTATCTTATAAAGTCATGTATTCATAGATTAAATTTTCTTTAAATTGAGCCCTGCTATTACAAACAACCCCAATCATCTGCCAAAAGGACGTTATTAACTGAACAATACTTAATGTTTCATTCACTGATCCTGTGAATTATCTATTTGACTTCTTATTCTTTCTATAGGTATAAAAACCTTTAAAGGGCAGTACTTTCACAGCCAACAGTATAAACATCCAGATACACTTAAGGACAAGAGGGTTCTCGTGATCGGACTGGGAAATTCTGGCACAGACATTGCTGTGGAGGCCAGCCATGTGGCAAAGCAGGTGCCATTCTTTTTTTAACCTACATATATATAAAGTTTTATTTTTTCAGTTTTAAATGGTTTCTGATTTCCATTATGATTGCTTTTTAACCCAAAAATTTTTAAAGTTTTTTTTCAATTACAGTTGACATGCAATATTATATTAGTTTCAGGTGTACAGCATAGTGATTAGACATTTATGTAACTTACAAGGCGATCCCCCCCCAATAAGTCTAGTACCCACCTGACACTATACATAGTAATTACAATATTATCGACTATATTTCCTATGCCATACTTTGCATCCCATGACTATTTTGTACCTGCCAAGAAGGTACCACTTTTGATGGTATTTAATGAAGAGCTTAACCGTAAGACACATACCTCAGGCAAACAGTGTTGGACACCATGGTAAATGATGAGAGGAATAAAAATGCCTAAAACGCATATATGAAGAGATTTTTTAAGTATTTTTTCTAAATGTTTATAAATTTTGCTGTAAATTCTGGGTGTCGTCATTCCTCAAAAATCTACTTCTCGGACTTCTCATTTTTGTTTTCCCCCAGTCATCCAGTGAGAGCTCCTGGAGACATCAGTCTCTTGCCCAATTCCACAGGTCAGAAAACGCTAACCTCCTCCTTGCTAAGCTCTCCCATTTGCTCCCTCTTTTCCTTATTAATTGCCACCACCACCGTCAGATCCGAACCACCTCAGACTAAGGCTGTCGCCTTATCCTCCTAGTCATAATTGTAGAAGAGGTCAATATGTATTGGGGCTTATTCTGTGCCAAGTGCTTCACTAAATGCTTTACTGCGTTACCTCGACCAATTGTCAGGACAAGCCACCGAAGCAGGTGCTGTTAGTGCCCTGACTACAGATGGAGAAACTGGGCTTTAGAGAAGTTCAGGAACCTGCCTAGGGTCATACCACTAGCAGTGGGGGAGAGCCAGTTTTCAGATCCAGGTCCCTTTAATTCGAAGCCCCTGTCTCTAATTCTACCCTGCATCCCATCCCCAGTCCATCCTCCCCCACATGACAATCCATCCTACGTCCAACCACCAACAAAGAAATCCTCTGAAATCTGCTCTCGTTATGGCATTCTCCTGTTGAAAAAAACCTTCTAAAAACTCCCCTTACCTAAAAAAACAAACAAACGAACAAACAATAATAAACTACAGATGGATTAGCTCTGCATTATAAGATCTAAATTAGATTTAGATCTGCTCCAAATCTAATTTTGTCCCTCACTACTTTCCTGCTCGATCATCACCTGCAGCCTGACGGGTGTACTCTGAGCCCTTTCCAACCTCTGTGCCTCCGTTTCCCTCTTCGCTTACACCACGCCTTCCCTTCTGCAATGCCCTTTTCTTTTTTATTGCAATTTACATGCACGTTCTCAGCTATCTGCCCCCAACACAAAGGGATCTCTCCCTAGTAAGAATTTAAGTAATCATCCTTTACAGTCCTCAGCTGGCCCTTTTTAATTTTTAGTGTTGCTAATTACCTTTTACAGTATATATTTTGTTTCCATTTATGCTACAAACCCATCGAGAGCCATTCCCCCAACAACTACACATTAGTTGCTGAATGTTGTGCTCTACACATTAGTTGCTGAATGTTGAGGGTACACTGGAGAGCAACGTGACAAACACAGGATCCCCGCTGTTGTGGAGCTTGTGGTCCTGGGGAAAACAGATGTCAAGTAAATAAATATAAAGAACTAGATCAAGAATCCCAAGGGTGAAAATGGCCATCATTTCTATATCAACACTGAAACTTCTCTCAGCGTAGACCATAATTCGTAACTCCCAAAATGCCCTATCCGATTCCGCATCATGGCACAGAGAGACTGATTCAGTGCAAATATCTCTGATGTCAAAGTCATTGATATGCTCGGAGTTCTGGCCCCACACTTCTTGTATTGCATATGCTCCTTTGTAAGGCCGAACAGAATATACAACAAAGACACTAACACTGTAGCTCAGGTCACCACGCCCCAGTTTGGGGGCGAGGCAGGGGAACACCATCTGTTAAATCAGTTGTTTTAGATTTGCAAAATGAAGATCAATTGACTAAATTTTTTTAGTTTTAAACAGTTGTACAGACAACTTCTACCAAAACAACTACTAGCTTAGCGAACGAACTCAGTCAGCTGGTAAACGCAAACTGTCGATCTATACAAAAAAATAAAAATCTACCAAAATGAATTGTACTCACAGATGTTTCTGTCAGTTCAAACAATGATTTCTGTTGAAAACCTCTGTAGACAACTTTCAATTGCTGCCATTCCCTGTTCTTATTGCCCACAATTATCAGTGTACAAAGTAGGAACCACCTGTTCATTGTCTTTTGATACGAGACTTGAAGCTCCTTGCGGCTGGCCACTATCTCATTCGCTGGTGTCTAGCACTGAGGCTGGCAGATAACAAGTGCTCAGTAACATGTCCTGAAGCATTTTAACACTTAGGACATTCAAACCATTATCTCGGAAGGATAACTCTAAAACAGGAGCCAGAGGAGCCAAAACTGTCTTGTCAGGAATGTACTTCGAGCATAGCAGACTTTTGGGTGTCATTTAATTTGTGGAACTTCTTGAATCTCTGACAAGGCCAGCCCTGATCACCGCGTGAGACCGAGCGATGCCTTTGGTTGCTTCCAGGTGTTCCTGAGCACCACTAGAGGGTCGTGGGTGAAGAGCCGCTTATCTGACTCAGGTTTCCCGTGGGACATGGTGTTCATGACTCGATTCTGAAACATGTGCAGAAATGCTCTCCCAACTCCCATTTTGGCTTGGTGGATGGCAAGAAATATGATCAGCTTGTTCAATCACGCAAATTATGGCTTAGTACCAGAAGACAGGTAAATATGACGTATGATGTTGTATCTGCCGAGGGCTATGAGGAAGAGGGAGCCTCGGTCCTTCCAGTGGCAAATGCAAACCCAGCCCTAACATGACATGACTGAAAATGAAGGAAAACTTCATACAGACTTGTTTGATCACAGAAGCTAACAGAGTTTTGAGTTCTCGTTACGTGAAATCACGTATTCCATCTTGCCAACAACCTTTATAGTGACTATTTTTATGATCTATCTTTTATTGTGAGTAAACTGAGGCTTAGCAAAGTGCAGTCACTTGCCCAAGCTCACTTAGTAATAAGTAAGCTCTGTGACCTTGGCAAGCTTCAGCTGCGACGATCAAAAGAATGGTTTGTCCGAGTTTTCAGACAAAAGAAACACACTTGTCTTGTTTCAATGAGTAGGAAGAATTCGACTCATAGTTGCCCTTCGCCATCTTTCTGAACGCAGTGCCTTCTCGACCTTGTCGAGATGACCTTGATTTCAGTCTGTCCTCGGAGTTACAACCTGACTTATCCCGTGAACAAGAATTAATGGTTTCACTGCCTTATTCATTAAGTTTGCACAGTGAGGGTCCATTATCAGTGTGGCACCACAGGCTGGAGATGCCGTCTGTTCTCCAGACTTCACTCTGGACCAGCAGGGACCAGGAGATACCAAGGCGCCACGGACGGCGCGCAGCCCCCTTCCCACTCCATAGGCGTCTTCCTTCTCCTCGCTCCCTTCCTCCTTCCCGCGTCTACCTTCCTCTCCCCGGCTCTCCCCTTCCCTCTATTTTTCTCCATCCGTTCCTTCCCTTCTCTTACCTGCCCTCTCCTACCCGCTCCCTCCAAGCCTCTCGGGGGGTTTGACTGTTCATCAGAGCTCTTTCTACCATAAGCTTTATCAAGCCTGCAGGGCAGCTCACGGGACTGTAAAGCATTGTATAAGGAGCCTGAGGAATGATTCTTCTTTCTCTCTCAGATTCAGTAAATCTCTATGGTCTCCAGAGTTCTTGCACACATACTACTTCACCTGCGCTTCATCCTACCCGACGACCTAAGGATGGCAAGTGTCAGTATCCCTAAACGACAGGTGAAGAAAACAAAGCCCAGAGGGACCCAATGACCTCCTCGCTTTCCCAAGCTCTGTGAAACACAGGCAGCGCTCCTCCCACTCAGGACCCTGTCTCCGCTGCGGATTCGCCATGCGCCCCAAAACGGCTCGACTTATTTCAAATCACCCCACAAAGCGTTCGTCAGCGATTCCAAAGGCATGGCCGGAAAACGATCATTCCGCCCTCGTCCCTCGAAGCACCTGCCCCGTCTCCCTCGCACGGTGCCAGCCGACAGCAGACGTGCCAGTCCTGGCTCCCTGCGCGGCACTTCGGCTTTCGGGTCCCTCCAAAGTGACCGTGAGGGCCGAGGGCTGACATCCGGCACGGGGACCAGGACAGGGCGCTCGGACCCCGTCTCCTCGGGCTCCCAAACTCTAGTAAAGGGTGAGCGCGTGTCATCCCCTTTCTGTGCCACTGGCAAGTCCCGCCCACACAGAAGCACCGGCTTCCAAGACCCGCACCTGGGAAGACCTGAGGAGGCCAGGACCTGTGCCCGTGCCGGTGACCGGCTGCAAACAGCCCCGCCGTGGAGCGCGGTCCTACCGGCGACACGGCCCGGCGCTGCGTGGACGGACCGCCCGCCGCTGGAGGGGCCGCGCGCCACTCTCGGTCCCCTCCGCGGGTGCTGGCCTCCCTGCGGGACGCGCGCAGCGGGTCCGCCCTCCCGGGGACTCTGACCTCCTTGCAGGACACGCGCAGAGGGTCCCAGTTCCTGGCCCGGAAGCCTCGACCAAAGGGAGCGCGCGAAGCAGCAGGTGGCCCCGCGGCGCGGCCTTTCCCGCCGCGGGCCAGTGCGCAAGCGCACTGCCCACGGCGCCTGCACATGCGGCTCCCCCAGGACGCCGAGGGCGCGCCCCACCCCCGCCCCGCGCTTCCTGCAAGGACTGGGGGGACGCAGAGAAGGCTGGGAAAGGGCAGGAGCCCTCGGGCCAGGACGCTATGAGTGTCATTCTGTCCTCCCGCAGTGGGGCCCACAGGGGCTCTGTTCCCGACCTTTGGGCCTACCTGCGGTCACCTCAGGGGTCCCCTGCTACATCACCGGAGGCTTTTTGCCTCCACAACGGGGAGAAAGCAGGATCAGCAGGGCACCTGGTGCCCCACCCGGAGCTACCCCCACTGAGTAGGCGGGTGCCAGGTCCGGGCCTTCAGCACCTGCTCACTTCCTGCTGGGTGGTCCCGGGCACGCAGCCTACGCAAGTGCCGCTTCTACCTAAGGCCAGTCTTCCAAGATGGAGAGAGACAGCTGTTTTCTCTAACGCACATAAACGAACGTAGGAAGTCAAACAAAATGAAAAGACAGAGGACTATCTTGTAAATAAAGAATCAAGAAAAATTCCTGGGGGTGGGGGAAACCCTAAGGAAACAGAAATAAGTAATTTACTGGGTAAAGAATTCACAGGACCACGAGTAAGCATGCTCACAGCCCTCGAGAGTGGACTAGAGGACCTCCGGGAGAACGTCAACGAAGAAAGTGTAAGAAGGAACCAGGCAGGCGTGAAATGAAAAGTAACTGAAATGAAAAACACGTTAGAGGGAACCAACAGCAAATTAGCTAACACAGAAGTGTGGATCAGCCAGCTGGAACCGACCAGTGGACATCAACCAGTCAGAGCAGCAGAAAGAAAACAGAATTTCTAAAAAGGAGGATAGCTTAGGGGACCTCTGCAATAAACCAGATGTGCCAACGGACCCATTATAGGGGTCCCAGAAGGAGAAAAAGAGAACAGAAAGCTTGGGCTCCACAACCATGATGTGTCAATGTAGGTTCATCAATTGTAACAAATGCACCACTCTGGAGGGGGACCTCCACCGTGCTGTGTGTGTGTGTGTGTGTGTGTGTGTGTGTGAAGGGGGCAGGAAATATATGCTAAATCTCTGTACTTTCAATTTAATGTTGCTGTTAACCTAAAGCCGCAATAACAGTTAAAGTCTATTCAAAAAAAAATTTTTTAAGCTCAGGAAGGAAAAAAAAAAAAAAAAAGACTGGCACCTCCTGCTGAGCCAGAGTCCCCAAATAAAGAAAGGAGGAAGAGAACAGAGGGCTGGCTGCATAGTCCCTGGCAGATCTCTCTTGTGTTTTTGTTTAGGACACAACTGAAAGAATTTGTGCTAAATGACATTCTCCCAGGCTGTATCATCGCCGGGAAAGTGTTCATCAAGCCAAGTGTGAAGGAGGTGAAGGAAAACTCTGTCCTGTTTAACAGCGTCCCAAAGGAAGAGCCTATTGACATCATCGTCTTCACCACTGGATACACCTTTGCTTTCCCATTCCTGGATGAGACGGTGGTGAAAGTTGAAGACGGCCAGGCCTCCTTGTACAAGTACATCTTCCCCGCCCGTCTGCAAAAGCCACCCCTGGCTGTGATTGGCTTGATCAAACTCTTGGCCTCCATCATATCCACATCGGAAGTGCAAGCTCGGTGGGCTGTTCTAGTCCTGAAAGGTAAGAGCATGGGCAGGCGTGATCGGTTTGCCATGTTATTTTGGATACTGGAAACTCTGAGACCCTCCCTGGCTCCTATCCAAAACAATGGAATCTTTAAGAGCAGGATTCATTCTATTGTTCTTTGAATTACACTATCATAATGAATATGTGCCATTACCACCACAAAAGATAAATCAGGGGTCAAAAATATAAGCCGTGCCTGCCTGTTATTTTGACTGAATCAACTGGCTCAATTAATATTTAAAAGTTCAATCAATAGAATGACATAATTCCGGCAAACCGGTTGTAAGGTTCTGTCATATCAAGTAAGTCATAAGATGACCAGATGCTTATCTTTTCAGCTGGCAGTCTACTTAGGCTGCTGACATATTTGCCAGAAGAACAGACAAGTAGCTGAGTACTAGAAATAAAAAGGTGACCAGCAGTAAAGCATCTTCAACCACTAAGGAAGCACCTCAAGTTAAATTGCATTTTTTGTTTGTTTTATAGGTATAAATAAGTTACCACCATCAAGTGTCATGATAGCGGAAGTTAATGCAAGAAAAGAAAAGAAGCCCAGTGGGTAAGTTAACTTCTCATGCATCCTTTTTGAATCATAACCGAAACTGGAAAAAAACAATAGCAAAGAGAGAGAAGAGTCACACTGGAGAAAAAAGAAGCACCTGAGACTTAGAGGAAAAAACAAAAAACAAAAAAAAAAAACATGGTCATCCAGCCGCACATGGAGTTTGGAGTCTAAACCAAATGGAATTAACCTTCCTCTTCCAGACACACTGTTCCACACCTTATCCATAATCGGCAGGCGAACAGTCATGTTTACCCAGTCGGACACCAGAAGGGTCTGCCATTCATTCCTTCCACAAACCTTTATTCAGCTCTGCTGCTTTTTTCAGACACTAGAACAAGAGTTGGCAAACGAGGGCCCGTGGCTTTTACATTTTTTAGTAGCTGTGGGAAATAAGAGAAGAAAAAGAGGACTAATTTGCGATGTGTAAAAAATATATGAAATCCAAATCCCAGTGGCCATAAAGTCTTATGAGAACACAGCCACACTCATTCATTTATATGTTGTCTGTGGCTGCTCTCCAGTTACAACTGCAGAGTTGAGCAGTTGAAATAGAGACCATAATATGGTCCTCGAAGCCTAAAGCATTTATCCCCGGCCCACCCTTTGCAGAATAAGTTTGTTGACCCCTTGTGCTCTACTCTTTGGCCGCCATTCAAGAGCCAGGGATAGTGGAAGGGGGCTGGCCAGTGAAGGAGTCGGGGCCCGAAGCTCTCACTCCCAATCCAACTAAAACATCTCTGGTTTTATCTGTTTTATTGTTTATCTGTTTGAGGCTTTGATAGAAATTTTGCCTTAAAAAAAAAAAAAAAAAGGTGTCTAAGGACCAAAAAGAAGTTTTAAAATCATTGCATTTAAGGAATTTATCACTTCTCTCATTCATATATACTTCCAAACTTCAGGTGTTGATCTTTCCTCATGCTACATCCCAAAACCACAAAAGAATTTTAGGTGTCTCTTCTTCATCCTCAACCTGGAATATGATTTGATCACCATTATGGCATTCTAGTATGATGTAGATAGTGAATTAGAGTTATACACTGTAAAAGCTTTGTTTCACATAGGTCTAAGGACTAATACCAGCATTACGGGGAATTCACCCTATTGATTTTTGTGTTTTTTTCTATTATAAAAATATAACAATAATTGAGTTTCAGAAAGATGTAGGAATCGCAAAATTATGTGAAATATATTTTTTTCTAGAGATTGCTGATCATTTCACAAAAGAACTAAAGTAATATGAGAGGCATTGAGGGTGTTTGGTCATCATATGCATAGAGTATCTTTCCAGGGGACTCGTCTCGTATTTAAATAATACGGTGAGACCGGTAGACAGATATGGGCATGGAGGGAAGGCTGCAGAAACCATTCCAAATTTCACAGCATTCTTGTTTACTTTTGGCACTTTTACTTGTTCTAAAGTTATCATTATTTTTATCTTTTTCTCTCCCCTTTTATGCCCAATCTTCCTTTTATAAAGGTTTGGCTTGTGTTACTGCAAAGCTTTAGAAGTAGATTATATCCCATACATAGATGAACTTCTGACCTATATCAACACGAAACCCAACCTGTTCTCCATATTCCTGACGGATCCGCGCCTGGCTTTCACCATCTTCTTTGGCCCATGCGCACCATACCAGTTCCGGCTGACTGGCCCAGGGAAACGGGAAGGAGCCAGAAATGCCATCTTGACCCAGCGGGACCGATCACTCAAGGCCACCAAAACTCGAATTGTACAAGAATCCTCATCTCCCTTTGCAAGCTTACTTAAACTCTTTAGCTTTCTGGCTTTGCTTGGGGCCATTTTCCTGATTTTTCTGTAAATAAAAGATGACCTAAATGGCTTGTCAGATGCTCAGAGTAGATTCCCCCACCTGCCTTCGAATCTCTGCCAAACGCTAGGGATGGTAGCTGAGTTTCTTGCTATAAAAAGCTCTTTTTTCAGAGGGCAGGCGGAACTACACAATTTAACAAATAAAAGAACTCAGGCAAGGAAACGTCCGTTGATTTGTCCAAAGCAACGGACCTATTACGTGGCTAAGTCGGGACACACGCCTCCAGGACACACTCGGGGCTCTGGACGCCTCCATTTAAGCCCGTTGCTTGCCAATGTTCAAATGACTCCAAGAGTCTTAATAGCGATGTCACAAAAGTCGCGTCACAAGGATCTTACTCCGGGAAAGGTACCTGTGTGCCTCTCTCCCTTTCTCACTCTGCCCGTGAGCGTGTCGCTCCGCCTCTCTGTCCATGTGCCTGGGCTGTGGCCAGTCCCTTCCTTGACATGCGCCGCTTCCGAGTCTCCACATGAATCCTTCCCCCCATTGACCCCTCCCTCTTCCCCTCTGACCGTGACCGTGACCATGCTAGACCTACCCTACGGCTGTAGTATATATAGAACAGACTCAGTAGAAAGAAAGGGCCCTCATTCCTAGACTTGAAATTATCTCATAAATCATACTGGGAAACAGTATGGGTTTTTTCTTCCCATTCATTAAAAAAAAAAATTAGTTAGGTCCGGGAAATGGAGTAAAACAGGAAACATTACATGTTTTGGCTTCTTGCACATAGCCTTCGAATCAGGGCGTCTGAAGCATTTCATCTCCAGCAGTAATTCGACATTTTGAGAAATTCTTTTTAGTGTGTACAAAGAGTACCCCCTGCAAGGCCAGATGGAAGTGAAGGTGTCTTATCCCTTTACGTATCAGCGCCCTCAGAGAGCTGAGCCCAGTGTGGGAAGCCCTGCCACCTAACGGCTGTACGAGCTGGAGCAAGTCATTTACTTCTCGGCTTCGGTTCTCCTTCCTATAACACAGGAGATATAATACATCTGACTTTGTAAGGGTGTTATAAGGATTAAATGGTGAGATCTATATAAAATGCTTAACCTAAGTCCCGGTAGGTGTTTACTAATAGCTCTTATTACTGTCATTATGTAAGCAGGCTGCATGTTTCATTGCTTGCTTTATTTTTTTTGAGTCACAGACCCAGCCCCTCACTGGACAGTCCCAACAGAATATCTCATGGGCTTCTCGAATGCAATGTGTACCAAATTAACCTCTTTATGTTCCCCAAAAGCCCCCCCCCCCCCGCCCCGACTCATTCTCCAATATCATCCTCCATACCGTCCATAGGGGAAAAGAGACATATTTCAATACATAATTACACAGATTGCACTGTTAAAAGTAAATGGCACTTGATAAATATTTGTTTCCTTCTTTCATAGTCAAATGAATGAATAGATAGATAGATAGATAGATAGATAGATAGATAGATAGATAGATAGATAAAGCACTATCTAGAGCATGCCCTTGGTGGTTATCTGATTTTGAGTCTATGAGAGCTATTTTAAAACTCGGTTAATTATAGACAATTAAAAGCAATGCAAAATAATTCTTGTCTGTACACATGTAAATTATATCCAATAGAGGTTTGGTTGGCTTCTATTGCCCACTGTGGAAACACTAGTTTTGCCTCAATTTGCATATTCATATCAATATCCCTGATCTATAAATGTCTGCCTCCTTTGAACTGGTGGTATCACCTTACCAATTTCCTCTTTAATAACAAGTTTAAAAATCTTTAGACTGTGTTCATTTCGTATTTGCATTAGAGTCATACTTCTGCTTCCTCTGAAAATCATCTTTTAACACCTCTTTCCAGGAATAACAGTACTATTCTATAGTTTTTTACTGAAACACAAAAGAAATCACCTGGACCCTCTGACACTCAGACCTCACATCTGACAGTCAGCAAGTCCTGTCACGTGTGTCTCTAGGGCAGAGCAGGGATCACAGGGAACGTGCGTGAAAACACAGACTGTGGAGTCAGAATCCCACCCACTTTGCTAAACAACCTTGAGCAGGTTATCTCATCTCATCTAGCTTCAGTTTCTCTATCTGTAAAATGTGGAAATAATACTTTAGTATCATTAGGAAGAGGAATAAAGGAAGATAATGCATGTAATGCATTTAGCCCAGTGCCCAGTATACAGTAAGTGCTTATTAAAGGTAGCTATTATTATCTCACAGACAGCTCCCCCTTACCTGCCCCCTTCCTCACTCTCTAGTTCAGGCCCATTTCGTTCTTGTCTAGGTCACTGGCCCCCTGCCCCCATCTCCACTCATTTCTCCATACTCCCACCATTTGAGGGTGCTGCCATTGCCTGCAGTGGTCTAATAAGGGGAGATATATAAACATGTCTATTGCATTGTCTGTGACAACAGCCAAGAGAAATAACAGAGTCGGTAGTGAAATGGTTAAATAATTCATGGCACATCTAACTGCAAGAGACAGAAGCTCAGCTCCAACTGACATAGCAATGTGAAACCGTGGCTCATATAGTTGGAGTCTGGACTTTATAGAGTAGCTTTTGCAGAAGGGCATTTTGGTGACACGTGTATAATGGGCTTCAGGGTTGAGTTAAGCTGGCGGCTTCGGGGCCACTTCCCAGCATGCTCAGAGTACTGCAATTACAGACTGCAGCCTGTAGGAAAAGAGAGAAGTACGTCCGGCACTCTTCCAGAATATGGCAGACAGCAACTTGTATCCGAAACGTCTCTTTAGCTTTTCTTCCCGGTCCCACGGCCACCAGCCAAAGACACCCTTGCCCAGCCTTCCTTGCAGCTAGTTCCTGCACATGGGATGTGACTGAAAATAATGCATGTGATTTCTCCCTCGTTTACTGAAAAGGAAATTGCTGACACTGGATTTCCTCCCTCTCTCTTCCCGCAAGCTGTAGCAGGCTCTTGGCAGCAGCCCAGCTCCAATCACACAAAGGCAAAGTCCTCGGAGATGGCTGAGTAACAAGACCAAAAGAACAAGGTCCCTTGAATGACCCAGGCCACAGAGCTGCCTTACTAGCCTAGTCTGGTCAAATTGTAACATAACAGAGAAATAAACTTAGTCTTCTATGTTCTATTGTTTTTAGAGGTCTCTGTTGCATCAGCTTCCTCTTTATAATATACATATCCCGAAGTCGCCAGTGACTCCTCACATCTCAAGTTCTCACAGCCTGAATTGCATCAAAACCTCCTTCAAAGGCAATCATTTGCCAGGGGGATGTGATTCCCCCTTGACCCCACACCTGGCGCTGGGGCGGGGTCAGCTATCTCAGAGAGGATCAGAGCTTCAAGGAGGAGGACTGAATGGGTCTCTGACTCAATGTCTCTCTCTT